ATAAAAATTTCTTATGGTCTCGTATCCTGTTGCGTAGATTTTTTATAAGTCTCCAGTATTTAAAGCAAAATATGTAATTTTAATCATTGCTTTATTTGTGTTTAATAGCATTTTCCGGCGATATGTATATTGGTCATCCCAGTTGGCCAAATGAAATTGACGTCGATAAGTATTTCAAAGTGGAAAATGGCGTATTAACAGTATATGAAACGGGCCTTTATTATGTATACGCGCAGGTTTGTTACAACAATACTCATGATCAGAATGGATTTGTGATATTTCATGGTCATAAGCCATTTCTTCAATGTTTAAATACTGTACCAACGAACATGCCACACAAGATTCATACTTGCCACACTAGCGGACTTATCTACCTGAAAGAACATGAAACAATTCATTTACGTGATTTTCATAGTGATAGAAATGCTATTTTAAAGGAGTCCAATAATCGGAGCTATTTTGGGTTAATAAAAATATAAAAAATAAGGTTACATACATATATATGTCTCAATGGAGAACACTCAATCCTGTCACTATTAATGTATTTAAAAAATTTGCTCATTGTGATTTGATAGATTGCGAATAAATATATATTAAAAAAAAATATATATATATATTGTATATGTACTTACTTATAGCTAATTTTTCTTGAATTTGGCTCTTAAATTGTTACATATACATCGGTACATACATATATATATGGAAATAGTTTTAGGTTTGAAAAATATTAGCTTCAAATATTCATTCTTAATATTATAAAAATAACCTCAAAAGTAACAAATTAATTGTCAAACTTAAATGATTACAAATTTCTGATTGCAAAAATTTGCACGTAACAGGTGTCTCTGAAATGACTAAGTAAGAAGCAATTCTCTTACTCTAAAAATACGAATACTCGTATGTGTCTACACATAATTTCACATGTTATATACACTTATGTAAGTATGTACATACAACAATGAAAGACGTCGCACGGCAATTGCGCAGGACATATGCATAGCTTTCGGGAAATTATAAAATATACGGATGATTTCTACGTGTGAGCTTTTGCTCGTTTGGAAATTGTTCGTCTCAGTTTACACATACATACGTTTAACGACCAAGGATGTGACAAAAACTTCAAGATTTTAGATGGTACAGGTATAGCTGTAGTACGTGTTTATATAAGCGTGTCACTGGTGAATTTATTAATTCTCAAGCAATGTTATTAACTTGTTGCATTGTAAGCATTTTATCTTAGTTGGTCTCTCTAACTGGTTGCCTATTTGGGCAATGTATAACTCAAACTCAAATTGAAAACCTCTTCGGTGTGCAAGCTAACCCATCTTTCGTTTTGTTCTGGTGTTGCGAAGATCGCCGAGAATTTTTAGGTTATTTAAAAATATGAAGATGATATTATGATCATTCAATGGAAAGTACGTGTGTTTTTTTGTAATTTCGCAAAATTCTTATTCCTGTTCTATTCCTTAAATATAAGGAGGTAAAAATACCTTTATGTAAAAAAAAGGTATATTCATTAAACTCAAGTGGAATGTCAACATACGTACATGAAATCTTGGCAAAATACAAAAGTAGTCGGATTCATGCAACTTTACTATCATAATTTATATATTCAATTTCCTCCCAATCATTTCTTAATCAGAAAAAGCGGTGGAGTAGCTAGTGGTCTCTTAACTGCTAATATTACTAGTTTGTACTAGTGAAATTTCCGCTGGAAAAGCGTCTCTTAAGCCAAAAGAGAGCACAAGTTGAAATCGTAAGAATCAGGGAGAGCTCTTGATTTCTGCTGGTGAAATTTCTATTAGCAGAAAAAAGCTGCTGCCGGCCAATATTTCACACGCGTTTGCTTTGATTTTAATGGTTTCGTATTGTGAAAACTAAAATTATATTGATTAATTTTTAAGCGTTGACATGATGTGATAAAAACACAACATTTTGATTTTTCTTGTTAAATTCGATAGCTTCTGCTAGTTTAATGTTTCTTTACCGTTTCGTTATTTCGCTCTTTGTGAGAGTAACTTGCTTTCTTGTTCATCCTGATAGCTAGCACCTACTCGCAGTTGTGAAACAAATCTTTTATAACCCTCCCAAAATCTCGACATCTTTTGTAGGATAATACACCAAAACATCTGTTAAACAAATCAATTAATTTGGTGTACGGGATTAGTATACTTCCTTTTGATTAGACCTTGTATGTATGTGTAATTTTTTTACAATGATTGGTATGGAAAAAAATCAAAATAAAAAGAGAACAGCTGATAGTCGATATACAAAAGCGCCGTAATAATGAATCGAAAGCACTAACGAGTGATTGAGCTTTCACGAGGCTCTGTACGACGAGAATTAGAAGTGAATATATATGTATTTATAATTATACTTGACTAGCTATAAAATGCGGTATCTACGAAGACGAATACCACTTTAGAATGTGAGCAGTAAGGATATTGACTAATTGTGACTGCTGACGTATACTCCCATTTCTCATAAAGGTGAACAAAATAAATAAAAAAGTGATACAATTTGCAGGATATTGTTTATATTGGGTGAGTAAATTATTGAGTAATATTTTTTTGCCTTATTAAAATGCAACATTTGCGAAATGCTTTTCATCATGATAACACGCTGATTAATATTTTTGCGAAGTATTTTATATCACATAAATCGAAATATTAAGAAATCAATCAAATGTTATAGTTTGTATAACCGTTTAACGAGTGTATGTTTGAGAGATGTACATATTTGTGTACATATTATACTCATACAAAATGTTTAACAAAGTTTAGGTAATACACACAATATACATACGTACGTGTGTATGTAATACACTTTGGATACAAAGTGCCTACGTCTAATAAAAAAGTGTATACATATGTACATATATGCGCATATATGCGTACATACATGCATATATGAATAGTTTGTTTGTAACGTTTTCCGGTTAGTAGTAAAAAGAGTTTGTCTAAAATATAAAGATTTTAAATTTTTAAATTATTTTCACATATGTAAGAATGTATTTAGGTGCATATGTATATATATTTATGAAAAGTACAAGAAAAAAGTGCAATATGTGTAGAGTGTACAAACACCTCCTCAATACCATTTTTGTTTATACTAAAAGTAAAGCAGAGCTAAGTTCAACTGCAACCATTTCATACTTTCACAACTTGTAGGAATCAAGATTAGGGAAACACCATAAGGAGTAAAATGTCAAACATATATATATATAACTCACAAACCGCTTAAGCTAAACCAAACTTGCAGAGAACCCGTCTTTCTAGCATCCCATGTTACACAGTGAGAATATGTGAAAATAACGCCTACTCCCCATAAAAGGATTATATTGAATACTACTAAAACCGGGAAAACTCACTAAAATAATACGACTGAAGTCTTAAAATTTATAGAAAAGATGGTATTTAGTGCACCTGTAAGTGAAATCTTACATACATGTGTGTATGCCAGGAACAAAATTCGGTGAATAATGTGTTGTGATTCAATTTGAATGAAATAGGACTACAACCACGCTTCACAGATATCAAGCATCAATGAAGTTAGTGGAATAGGACTTTATACAAATAGTATCCCTGGGCATGCCATCTTACGTTCAAAAATTGTTCCGATTACAACTGTTCAAGCCGCCAGACATCGTTTATGTTTATTCCACTATATATGACTGACTTTTCACCGAAACTAATGGTCAATCTGTGAGATGTGTATATTATGGAATTTCAGACGTATAATCGTGTAATAAACTACATACAAGGATTTTCATAAACTAGGACGTTTTATATCGAATATGTCGGGCAGTTATCTTTATAAAGTTACGTAGAAAATATTGTCTAGCATACTATATTCGTCTATAATATGGATATCGCCTTTCCCCTTCTGCAAAAGCCGGCACCAAAAGTTAAGTTATGATTTAAATTAATATATGTAGGTAGATATTTTAACTTTTGTTAAAATCTGAGGAAATCCTTCCATTTAATGCCAATAAACGTATATATGCCTACGTATGTATATACAACAATGTAAACTATGCACAAACCATACTTGCACGTACATATGTACATTTCCCATAAAGAATTCAAAGGAATTTAATTAGTGAGATTCCGAAGTAACGTCAAACGTGATGGCTGGTGGTAACTTAGCGCGTGTACTATATAATAAGATATTGAATAGAGGAATGCGGCAATCAACAGTAATATACCTAAGTATCTATTATACATATATGTATCCAAATGTTGTTTTTTTCAAAATTCATACCAATTTTTATTAATTATTATTGGTACTTTATATTGAAAATATTAAAGACTCCCTTAGCGAAATAGATTATTTTTATATACATACAAAAAATCTAAAAAAATATTTAAAAAAAATTTATTGAACCAATCGTTACAATTCTTTAAAAACTTTCAAAATAGGCTCCTTCTGCGGAGCTCGTTACGCCGGCCATTTATATATGTTCTTTATAGGGTCTCCAACGCTTTCTTCAGAGTGTTACAAACTTTGTGACAAACTTAATATACCCTATTCACTGTATTATTTCTTCCTACCGGCTCTTCCCCGAGAGCGTGAAAATAGGTGAAGTCGGATCATAATCATACAAAGTTTATGTGGAAAACTGATACAAGTGTGATAACTTTAGGTAAGAGGCAATAAATTTCTAAGATGAGACCTGAGGCTTCATAGGAATCGGTATAAAAATTAGACAATGGGCGTGACTCCGCCTACCTTTAGGTAAAATTTTATATGAGCGTTTTTGCCTCGAACCTTTTTTGTAGCAAACAAAATTTTCTACAAGTTTGTCATGAACATTTTTATACTCTCGCAACAAAGTTGCTAAAGAGAGTATTATAGTTTTGTTCACATAACGGTTGTTTGTAAGTCCTAAAACTAAAAGAGTCA